CTGAGATCTTTGTGTTTTTTGTGGTTGAATACCCATGGAAATACCCTTATATCGCTAATAGCCCATGTAGCCTTACGGCCTTATATTTCTTGTAGCCTTACTTCCTTATAGCGTTTCCCCTTATAGCCTTCCTCCCTTAAAGCCTTATCCCTTTATTGCCTCACTTCCTTATAGCCTTTCCCAGATGCCGAAACGAGGGTGGATTTTTCACTCCCCGCCTTGCCCCGACATTGATTCTGTTTTTTTGCTTCCCCGCCCTGCTTCACCCCGTCAAAAGCTTTGTCCGCTCCGCCCGGCCCCACCCCGATTTTGATTTTTTCTTTGCTTCTCCGCCCAGCCTCGCCTCGCCAATAGCTTTCCTTGCCCTGCCTCGATTTTCCTCGACCCTTCCTTGACGGTGTGGGTGTAGATGTTGGTGAGGGTGTATGTGTGAATATAAGCCTAACATTCATGAACACTTATACCCGCGCCCACACACCCACACCTGCATCCTATAAGCTCAACGCTGAAACACAGTGACATCTATCACAACAATTTCGTATGAGTTATTACAACAGTTGTATCATGCATATACGAGTTTTGAATGTGAAACTGAAGAACGGGAAAAATTTGGGGGATCTACTTCATTCTGCCCCACTCCTTCTCATCATAACTAATCTCCACCCCGCCCCGCCCCGACCTAAGTTATTTTTTTCTCTCCTCGCCCCGCTCCGCCCCGGCTATTTCATCCAAATTCTGTATCCGCCCCGCCCCGTTCAGCCAAAAATGTTTCCCGTTCCGGAGCCCAGCCCCGTTTCGGCCTCTGGTCTTCCCCTTATACCCTTGTAACCTTACCCTCTTACAGCCTTACACCATTGTAGCTTTACCTCATTACTTCGTGTACTCTTAAAGCCTTACCCTTCACCCACTTATACCCTTATAAGCTTATCCTCTTACGGCCTTACACCATTGTAGCCTTATCCCTTACTCCCTGCACCCTTATCGCCTTATCTTCTCACGCCTTATAGACTTGTGACCTTACCCTCTTACAGCCTTACACCATTGCCGCCTTATCCTCTTACCCTCTTACCCCTGTACTCTTATAGCCTTGTTCCTCATCCGGTTGTATCCTTATACTCTTGTTCCTCATCCGGTTGTATCCTTATACTCTTGTAACCTTATACCCTTGCAGTCTTACCCCTATACTTTTGTGGCCTTGCCCCTTATCTCTTATGCCCTTGTAGCCTCACCCCTTACCTCTTATGCTCTTGTAGCCTCACCCCTTATCTCTTATGCCCTTGTAGTCTCACCCCTTACCTCTTATGCCCTTGTAGCCTCACCCCTTATCTCTTATGCCCTTGTAGCCTCACCCCTTACCTCTTATGCCCTTGTAGCCTCACCCCTTACCTCTTATGCCCTTGTAGCCTCACCCCTTACCCCTGTATAGCCTTACGACCTTTAACTCGGCACTGACGTGAGCATTACATATGTAGATTAGGTTATTGAAACAGTGTTAACAAACTTGACATCTTTATTTATTTCCGAAATGAATACTGCTATATTCCTATAAAACGAATCTGCTGAAGGCTTCAATTCATTTACGACAAGGATGAATTAAGCCAAAACTAAACTTCTACAACACATTGTTAGTTTAAGTCTAACTAGACTTGACGATCGTTATGGAATAATTAAGTGAGGAGAATTAAGAAGAGTTGATAAAAATATAAGTAATACGAGCTTCAGTAGTTTTCTATATTCTATTATATTCGTAGATGTTCCCATTAGTTCTTATTCGTTCGTTCGCAACTTAGAAAATTAATTTTTTATAACCTTAGAAAAACTATGAATCAACTTGCATATTCTCATTATTAACACGATATTCTTTGTCCTTAGTCATTACGAATTTCTCTACGTGTCATTTCATATTCTTATGCAAAACATGTGACTTCTAAGAAGTTCAGATAATTGATCATAGTCCCTTGGACAAACTTCTTTTCATCTTCATATCTGTTGTCGAATTTCCATCAATCAGAAAAACGAAAAAAATATGTCATCTACGACAATTATTTAATTCATAGCTACCATTGGTCATATTCAACAATAAAAATTTACAATAAGAACTTGTATTAGGTGAGAAAGGGTACTATCTCCTATTCAACGTTGCAGGAAGACGCAAAAATGGTACGTCACTAGAACTTATCGATACATGTCACAGGAATTTTTCTACAAATGGTACTTGAAATATTTTGATGGGGAGACGGCCACTTGCTCGCCGGACAGTTCCTCGCCGGATATTTGCGCGCGGACACTTGCTCGCTAGGCCAGTTGCACGCTATAGGACTCTATGTAACTGTTATAGCGAGCAAGTGTCCTAGCGAGCAAATGTCCTAGTGAGCAAATGTCCTAGCGAACAAGTGTCCGCGAGCAAATGTCCGGCGAGCAACTGTCCCGCGAGCAACTGCCCTAAACCCCTTCTGATGTGCTTAGCAAGTTTAATAGTTACGTTAGTCAGGAGAATTTTTCAACTACAAATGTTCGATTCTCTTTATGACACTTTCATGATTAATATTATTTTTTCTTTCTTTAAGTCGTGATATCTTTAAAACCATTTTTATCAATGTCCGATTATAAGAAACCAAACGTTATTCAGTAATCAATCAAACACAGTCAAAAAAAGTAAGATTCTTTTTTTTTGCCTTAATTTATTTTCAACTTTAATACATTACATAGCAAATCGAGTCGATTTTTTGGGGAGGTGGTTTACAAAAACACAGTATACATCATTCGATTCAGAATTTTACAAGGATCTCAAATATACTACCCCCTTTCCTGAGCAACTCTTAGTTTTTGAGAAAAGAATAAGAAACTAGTTTACGTTGAAAGTAGCGCCCTTCTTTTTTTTTCTATCATTTCTTCACAGTCTGTGAATATATTCTTTTTCCTTTGATGTCTCTTACTTCTATATATTGACAGAATAAACGAACAGAAAAAGAAAGAAAATAGCCATATGTATTTAGTATTGAATACTTATTTCTACAGTTTGGTTTTATGTTCATTTACTCTTCATAGCAAGAAAATCTCTCTCACTATGAAATTAATTTGTAACCCGTTAACTTGAAGAATTTCAATATCATCAATTAAACACTACGCATTTTCATTTTCATTTTCATGCAAACTTCAAACATATAAGTTCGTCATTCTGCTGAGGAATTTTTCAATAAAAAGCACCAAAGTCTATTGACATATCGAACTGTCTATATTATGTTGCAATCACGTAAAAAAATATACTTTTTTTTTTCAATTCAGTAAGCTACCCAATTAGTGATCGAACGAAGTCTTAAATCTGATCTCGGATGTTGATGACCAATTCCGAAACAATATTTTTCGATGACTTTTCCCTTTTCTTCTTTTGGTTATAGTAGCTTAGTCTTTGCACACGATCTTTATTAATATCTTCTTTTGAAAAGAAAATTCACGAAAAAGATGAAAGAAAAAAATTTTAATTAAATCACATACAGGTGTTGAGTATTTTCTTTAAGAAAAAATAATTTATATAGTGATAATAGTATAAATATATTTAAGAGCAACTATTGATGATAAAGGTTGTTTCTTATCCTTATTTATTTCAATATGTAGCATGTACAATTTGTTTCACCTGTTAATTATGAGTGTAAATCTGTGTTTAAGATACGTGATTGTATATAAATTAGATAAATATATTTACACATGATTTATTCATTCAATTTGTGTTGCGAAAAAAATACACAATCGTACAGAAAAATCTCCTTAGAGATAAGTAGCAGTTGAAAGACAAACTTCATTCTACATAAAATTTTATCTATCTATTTCAATCGGCTTGCAAACATATGCTTGCAAGAGTATACAGGATTTACTGTACGCGGACATACTGTCCATTGATTACTTTTCAATTTTAATTGCTTTTTTTCTCGAAAAATAAAAATTTTCGCTGTCGAGGATTTACTGTCCGTTGATTGAAAAAAAAATTATTCCAATCAGTGTTTTTCTTGGATGAGGATCTACTGTCCGTTGATTAATTCGAAGAAGACAAATCAACAATTCAATAGCCAGTGAAGTTATCAATGTACTATCAACAAGAAAATCCAAGAAATATATGAGTGAATGACAAAAAAAAACAATGAATAAATAAACAACTTTAGAAAGATAATTGAATATTTAACTTTTGGATGGGCGTTGGAAATATCAAAATCCAGCAGCTTTTAAGAAGGGAGGAATATCAAGACGACCTTCATCATAACGTTGCCACAATTTTAATAAACTTTCATCTGTTGTAACTTTATTTTTGGGGATTCAACAAATGTAGCAGACATTTTTAAAAAAACTACAATAAGAAAATTCTTAATCTCTCGAGTTATATATATTTTACTAACTTTATTCATATAAATAATTATTTTGCCTCCAATTTGATAATCATTGTTTATTTTCAATTGAAAATTTAGTCAATCATTCCCATCTTCATG